CCCTTCCCCCTTCCTCCCTCCCTTTCTTTTTTGGTCTTTTTGAGACAGGGTCTCCCCAACTGGCCTGGCCTGGAACTCACTATGTAGACCAGGCTGGCCTTGAACTCACAGAGATCCACCTGCCTCTGCCTCTCAAGGGCTGGGACTAAAGGCGTGCGCCACCACGCCTGACTTCATTACTTACTGTCTAGTGTCTGTAGCAGAGTGTGTGTTTATGTAGTTGTGTTTAGCCTTAACATTCCACTTGGGATTTGTAGTGTGTAGAGATCCATTTTCCTCTCTCAGTGTTGACACTGGCTTAGTCTGGATTTACTGTAATACCAGATTGCTCTTGTTGCCCTCTCAGATAATGGACCAAACTTCTGATATCAATAAGGGCTTTAAGGTTTTAGAATTATTATTATGAGTAGGTATTTGAAGATTTGGGAGGAAGAGCAGGCTGCCATTGTGGGATCTGAGCCTAGGTGACCCCGCCATGCTGTTCCAGATTGCTCGCCATGTGGGGACTGGGAGGTCTGTTTCCTTCGTTGTTCTTTTTTTAAAATTCGTTATTTTATGTGTCTGCGTGTGTTGCCTGCATGTAGGTGAGTGCACCCGTGTCGTGCAATGCCTGTGGCGGTCAGAAGAGGCTGTCAGATCCCCTGGACCTGGAGTTACGGACAGTTGTTAGCTGCCATGTGGGTGCTGGGATTCAAACCCAGGTCTTCTGCAAGAACAACCAGTGTTCTTAACCACTGAGCCATCTCTCCAGTCCCCCATTCATTGTTCTTAATGAGGTTTCCATTCTATACCTAGCTTCAGAAGGGAGCAGATTTGCTTTTTCAAATTATGAATTTCATAAATTCACAAAATTGGGAGGTGCAGTGAGATGACCAAGCTGACCTAGCTGGAGAAGTTTCATTTTGTTGTGCTGGTGGGTTTAGGAACTGGTGTGAATTCACTGCTACCAGCATGGAGTTGTGTATTCTAGGAATCTGGGTGGTGAGGGATTTTGATGCATAGGCACCCTCCTCTGCTGCCCTTAAAACTCTTACTGAAATCCAGGGGTGAATCTTTAAAACAAATTATTTGTTCATTCATTTGCTATTTTTATTTTGTTTTTTTGAGACAGGGTCTCACTGTGTAGTCCCAGCAGGCCTGGAAACTCACTGTGTAGACCAGGCTGGCCTCAAAACTCACAGAGATCTGCCTACCCCTGCCCTTGTCTCCTAAGGAGTATGCTACCATGCCCGCTTATTTTATGTGTATGAGCGTTGTGCCTGCATTTATGTGCGTGTACCTGTGGAGGCAGTGCTTGAGGGGAACAGAAAAGGAAGTCAGATCCCTTGGAACTGGAGCTATGGCCAGTGTGGGTGCTGGGAACTGAATTCCAGTTCTCTGTAAGAGTATCTAGTGCTCTTTAACCTCTGAGCCATCTTTCCAGCCCCAGCCAGGGATGGCTCTTTGTCTTTGGCAATCTCCATGACTTTCCAGCTTAGGCTGCTGTGCACTGGGCATGATGTTTTCAATCTGGATGCTTCAGTGACAACTTAGCTTTGGTGGGTTGTTCATGGGGAAAATGTCTCCCATGTTTTTTGTTGTACACTTACTGGTTAGGTCAGAGGTGAAACCAGTTTTCCTTCTGTGTAGGACTTGAGAGCGTGGCAGAACTGTTGGACTAGCTGCTAGACTGCATTGTCACTTGCCCTGGGATTCTGTGTCCCTGGCACCAGGCTGTAATCTGTGGTGAGTACAGGCCCCAGAGGTCACCTCGGACTTATGGTTATGCAGAAAGAAACATTTTCTTCAGCTCTAATCCACTCTCCTGCCACAGCCAACACTTGGGGGCTGTCTGGTACTTTTAGTTTTAGGTCCCTTCACACCCCCCCCTTTTTGGGGCAACTTTTGCATTACATTGACAGTTTTAGTTATTTTTTAGGACTAACTCATTAGGCATGCTGAAAATTGTTCACTTACGCATGTCTGCTTGGCTGCAAGAGTGTGGTAACATTTATGTGGAAGCTACAGTAAACTGATAAGTGTAAGGGTAGAGTAGAGTAGAGTGCT